AAGCCCCTGCTCCCTGGCTGCAGTGTAGGGTGGGTTTTGCACATCTCCATCTCCTCAGCAGACACTTTCATTCCAAACAAACTCATTAACTCACTGTCATTCACCAGAGAGAAGTCACTCAGCAAGATGGGAGCCAGTGTTGGTGAAGCCAGGTCAGAGCAGGGCAAACATGGGGAAGGAACAAGGTGGAGAGGCTGCTGCTTCACTAACTCCAGCATAACTCTGCAGGACTGCAGTTCTGGGTGCCTGCTTGGAGAATCCAGCTATCAGAGTCACAATGAGAGCTGCTCCATACCTGCTGCCTTGCAGGATGGGAGAGGCCCAGCAAGCACCAGGCAGGACATGAAGGAAAAGACTGAGCTCTTGAGGGGCTTGCAGGAGAGCAATTCCAGCCCCTTGCTGGACTTGGTGACACCAATCCATGTTGACTTGAGGTCCTTCCAGTGCTGCAAGCCCTTCATGGGCACAGCAAAAATGAATAGTCCAAGAGTATGTGCTTTCCACCTGCTTTTGCTTTGCAGTTGATTTAAATCTGCTTTCTCTATCCAAAGCAGTAGGGTTTTTTTTTTGGTTTTTTTTTTTTTTTTTTGGATAAACATATCCTGTAGCAGCTTGATGCCAGCAGTGAATACTCTTTAATCTTTACACACACACACTTCTGGAGCTGGATCCATAGTCTCAGAAGCACCAAAGCCATCCCATACCCTTTCAGTTCTGCCAGGCCTAAAATCCAGGACCTAGAAAGGCTTGAAACACTTAGCAGCAAGGAGCCATCTGAATAGCAGGAATAGTTCTCTCTTTCAGAAGATAGTGTTAAATTACATGGAGATTACAGGGCCAAGAACTCTGGAGGGAGGTGAGGAAGGATGGAGAACACCATCAGTGTTTTCCTTCCTCCCTCATCTGGTTTTTGCTCCTTATCCCACCTGGGCTTTGATGAACTTCCCTGAGAAGTCTTGAATTGGTCCCGTTTTCTCTCTCCAGCTTTGGAAGCTTGCTTGCTTTCTCTCAAGTGATCCAAACCCAGCCAGATTTCCTCCCCAGAGCATTCATTAGGTGACTCTAACCCATGTCAGTGGAATTACAGCTATCTTTGATCCTGCTGTAGTTAGGAGGCAGGGCTGCATGCTGTGTAGTGTGCCTAATTTAGACTTGCTTTGCATCCTGTGGCACTGAGCAGGGAATGGATCCCCTGGGAGCCTGATGTGTAGAAAGCAACAAGTCCCCACTGGAGTCAGGGATGAACAAAACAGTTTTCTTTTCCTTCTTTGTGGGAAGTGCCATGGAGTAAACTCTTTGGTGCTTTATATTCTGATTATCTCAGAGTGCAGCCTTGTGCCTTGGTTTGCAGTTGTGGCACATGAGAGGTGAGCTGACACCTCTGACCTGACTGGGAGGAGCTGGTTCAGCTGAGCTGCACCCAGAAGTGAAGGAGGCAGGCAGCACTTCCCAGACAATCCCAATGTGGCCTGCAGAGCACTTCTGTACCCAGGAGCAAAGAGGTGCTTTAATCTGCCAAGCATAACTGGGTCTGAGTGTTTCTGTGAAGTGTAGGCAGGGCAGAAGCAACACAGAGGGGATGGAAAGGAGTTGGGGTGGGCAGTGCTGGGTCTGTGCACTGTGCCCATGGCACCGGGATGTTCCTGGCATGATAATCACCAGTGAAGTAGGAAATGGAGCAGCAGAGGAGGATTTGCCTGAGCTGCATGTAGGGTGTCTGTGCAAGTGACAGCTGTGCTGCTACTTTATTTCCTTCTGTGGATATTATGGGCTGCTGTGCACCACCCTGAGGGCAGCACAGCCTGGCTTAGGACTTTTCCCGAGTGTTTGCTCTGGAACATCTTCAAGGGCTTGAGGAGGTGCCAACAATTCACCTCTCTCACTGCATACCTGCCTCTAATTGCAAACCAGATAGGCTCTGACACGATATTGGCCAATTAAAGTTTCCACCCCCCCCCCCCCCAGCCACATGGTCCTGCACCCCACATGCCACTGACTTGCCTGCTAGCTTGGAAAGGGTTATCATCATCTGTGCAGTCATCTGACCCAGCACAGTTTCTTCCTCTGGCTGGGGGCTGCATTTCCTCTCATAGTGGATACAGCTGGCTTTAGCTGAGAGGCAAGACTAACCTCATATTCATCACCTGCCAGTTTGCAAGTCCTTGCCAAGCTGGGAGTGCACTGGACTGACTGGTGCTTATGGTGTGAGTGCCAGAGGAGTGGGCATCACTCAGGAGGGCCTGGGATGCTGTGCCCCGAGAGCAGAAATGTCCATGGAACATTGGCAGCTGTGGGGAGGGGAATGGGTAAAGTAGATCCAAATTCTTCTCACCTTATGGGGAGAGGAATGGGTAAAGTAGATCCAAATTCTTCTCACCTTATGGGGAGAGGGATTTTCCTGCCTAGTTATTTGTTTGGAGTTTTTTCCCATGTTTTTTCACCTTTAGTAAAAGATGAAATAGAGGTGTAGCAGAGGAAGCAATGACTGATGAAATCAGCACACAGAAAGGAGAAAATATATTGTAAACGATAGCTGAAAGTCACAATGATCTGTGCAAAAGAGGAATTCAGGCAACAAGTAAGTCCCTTTTAGATTATTTTAGTAGAGGTTTGGGAGTGACTCAGATGGCAAGCACTGTTGTCAAAGCAGGGAGCTGTGTGTGGTTAGCTCTTCAAACACAGTGGGCTTGACTTCCCCTTTCAGACTCAAGTGGAGCTCTGTAATTGCTGGTGGCATCACTGTTATTTGAAGCTGGTACCTGGGGCCTTGTTGTGCTGGAACTCCTTTCCAAAAAGCCCAGGTACCAAGGGAACAGGCAGGATATCAGGGCAGCCATGACTTGGTATTCCAAAGCAAGTAGGAGGTTTGGTTGGAGTATAAACTGTGAGGACATTTGATATTTGTTTAACTGCTTCTGGCAATGTTAACTTGAATGCTGTGACCTCCCAGCTCAAGAGCATATGCTCTGATGAATAAAAAATTAAATTTACTGTAGAATCTGAAACTACTAGCAGAAACCTGAGGTTTTACTGTACCGTAAACCACCGTTCCTCTTACTGAAGTCCAAAATACAGACCTGTTTTCTCTGAATTGAAGACCTCTGGGACATGTCTTTTCAAGTTCTAGTATTTGCTTAAAGTGAAAGTCATACTTGTATTTCTTAATCTTCTATTTTGGCTGCATGATTTTGTCCTAAATCTTCACTATATGAGGTGAAACTCAGCCCTTACTGGTAGAAAGTCAGTACTTGCAAACCTCTGAATCAGGGGGTCCAAGTATTTGCCCTGAGAACCAGGATGTGACTGCAATGTCCCAGGAACTGCTGAGATCTCCAGCTGTGATCTTGGTATGAGTAAGGCTTTGCCCACCAGCCTACTACCTACTCCACATGAAAGGTTTGTGACTCAGTTCCTGACTACTTTAGTTTAAAATGCTGGCTGCCCACGCATCTAAACTGCTGAAGCAAATTCCTGTGTCTTTCAGCTCTCCCAAGTTCACAGTTGTGACAAGGTTTGTCAGGGAAGTGAGCTGGACTAACAAATAGATGAACAAAAAAGAAAGTTTTTAGGAATAGAAATCCTTGCTTGAGCCTTGTTCATGAGCACAAGTATCTCTTGCTACTATGGCTTGCTCCCAGTTCCTGGGATTTCTACCTGCATTTTAGAGCCAAGCACAGGACCTGAGGTTGTCTTAAAGCACAGCAGAGGTTCTGAGTGCACAGATTTATCCCTGTCCTGGGGGAACTGTAGAGCTCTACCAGGCTGGCCTGGCCTGAGATGCCCTGAGCTCATGAGGAAGCAAAATATGGCTCTTGTGGTTTTCCTTGCTGTGGCTGGCAGCAGGAGAGACTGCCATTTGTGCATTGTGGCATTTGCTGCGAAGACTTTTCCAAGTTCTGTCTGCGTTCTTGGAGGAAATGCAAAGCCACTCTGGGATAAAGGCAGGCGTGGATTTCACCCCTGGTGGAAGCAGGCTGTGCCAGGCTGAATGCCCCAGTGCAGCCATGGTGGCAGCAGACACTTCCCAATGTTCATCTGCTGAGGGGAGGAACAGGAGCCATTTCCAGGCATTGCAGCTGCAGTGCAAGAGCAGAGTGCCCCCCCCTCGGGTAGCCAGGATGGGGAAAATCCACTTCTGTTTGCTGTGTCTTTTTACAGGGCTGGTTTTACACCCTCCCAGATGCCTGATTTTTCTGGCTCTCCCTACACACCTCTTTACTCTTTGGAGCCCTGTGTTCTCCCCCAGCATGAAATTAATCTGGGCATCTGTGCATGCCAAATCCAGGAGAGACCATGAACTGAAAAGCCTGTTTATGAGCCCCTTAGAATAGGTAAGTTTTTAATTCATGGAGAAGACCAAAGCCAAAAGGAGTGGGTTTTTAGCATTTTGGGCAGCTATGAGAGAAATGCCTTTAGGGAAAAAAACAAATCCTGTCCTTCACACCTGCCTGAAGACACAAGTAAACTATTTCTCATGCACCATTTTAGGTTTGTGAAGGCTACTGTAGAAACTGTTAGGGTCAAATCTTCTAGGACAAAGAAAAGCCAGCTGTGACCTCTACAAGATGAATGTGAGCAGCAAAAAGCAAAGCCTAGAGAACACCTTTACCCCTTAGGTGCCACACAGAATTTGCCAGTGAAGGAAACACCAAGTGACCACTCCAGGAAGACGCATTAGGGAATGGAATTTTTTTGGCATTCATCCTGCAAGGCCAGCCAAGGACAATGCCAGGCTTGCCTTGTATCTTTTTAAATCCATATTCATTCTTTTGTGGTTTAGGTGTGCAGCAGCTGCATTTTCTGTTGGAACAAGGGTTTGTTACAACTCTGGGCATGAAACCCCAGTGTCCCCTGAAAACTGAAATGTCTTCTAGGCTTGTTCTTTACCTAAAGCCTTGACTAAGATCAACTCCTGGCATGTTTCAGCTAGGGACTTACCAAAAACAAACAAGGTGTTGGTAGTGTTGCAGTTCACAAATAACTACATTGGTCTTAAAGGAGAAATATACAGATATATTTATTTTTATAAGTAGAAAAATTAAGTATAAAGTTCCTGTAGAACTACTCTTTGCCAGATCAAACATATCAATCATTAAATCATTTCCCATACTAGCAGAAATGCACACAGCATCTTTTGTTTGTAGGAAAATCACTTTTCAAAGGATATGAATTTTGACATTGCACAGCTGAACAGCTGCTCATTTCTTTTTTCTCTAGTGCCTTGGCCACCACTGCTTTTCCAAGAACTCTTTTAGGGAAAAACAGGGGAGAGCTCAATTTTAGATTAAAAACATTTAGGTTTTTTTGAAAGCCTTCCCCAGAGACCTATCAAAAGCACCACCCAGTAACAATCCAGTGGGTAGTTCTCTTGCCTTGGGAAGGAGCTCTCTTTAAAGCCCAACTAATTAGTTAGAAGGGATTATAGGATTAAAGAGCTCCTAAGGGCTAGAGACCCACTTCTACAAGACAGTAATTGTTTATTTCAAGGCTGGTGATGCTGCAGCTTTCATGAGTCTCACAGTTAGCACATCCAGAGACGCAGAGAAGGCTGATCAGCTCCCCAGACACCCACTCAGGGAATCCACAAATGGTTTTGGTACAAGAAAATTCCCTATTAAGTTAATTAGTTTTACGTATGGAAAGTTCAGATTAAGAAGAGGATGTTGCTTTGACGTTGTTCTGCAGGCAGTCACCACTCATGAAATGATCTTCACTTCAGGCTTGGACTCTTCCAATGTTCTCAGTTCATCATCCACTTCAGAACTCCACAAAATGTCATACAAACTACACCAAAACAAAAAGGCAAGTGAGATTTAGTGAGCATCCTCCTGTTAAGGGAAGAGTCAGATGCACAACTGGCTAGTATGGGAAGGTCATATGCCAGGAAGGGCCCTTCTAGCTTTAAGAGCAGCCAGAAATTGCCTTTACAGCCCAGGACCCCCTTAGTCCCTGACCAGCAGCGGCCTCCCACCCCTGCCAGGGCTACCACCATCACTCACATTAACTGCTGCACGTTGCAGCTGGGCTTCTTCAAGGCTTCACAGATCTTCCTGATGCCTTCATCTTCCAGAGGGTTGTAGCTGAGGTCCAGCTCAGTGAGGCACTGCTTGGTGGCCATGACGGTGGCGAGGGTGGCACAGCAGCCTGCAGTCAGGTCACAGTTCCCCAGCCTGCAGGGAGAGGGATAGAGGCCAGCACAGTGAGCCCTGGCTCCAGGAAACCCTGCCCACACCCGGGCAGCACGTGTGGACATCCCCAACATGGACCAGAGATCCTGGCAAAGATGGCATCTCTGTGACATCAGCAGGGGCTGGCCTGTGGTCTTGCCACAGAGACAGCTGCCCTCGTGGTGACTGCTGAACACCTCAAAGGGTTCCCTAAAGCATAACAGTGTGTGGCTATGGGCACAGGAGGAAGCCACTGAAGTTATTCCCAAATTCACCATCATGCATCATCTTCTCTTATCACTATACTTGAGACTTGCACCCCTCTAAAGAAGGCAACTGAGGCCTCTCAGTTGATGACCAAGTAGCTTTAAGTGGTCAAAAGACACTTTCTGGGACAGACTTGTAAGTCTTACTGATGTCTCCCATGACCCATCTGCTTCACTCACTCACTGTGAATTCAGGCATCAGAGCACAGCTCTGGCTTCTGTCCAACAGCATGGAGAGAACAAGCACTGAGCATCACACAGCCCAGAGCTGGGCCCAGCTGGGAAGGGAACAGGCTCATGGGGAAGGCAAATACCACCCCAGGGCTGGAGGTGATGCTCCAGCTGGCTGCCTGCTCCTTCTAGTGAGGCTGGACCAGCACTTGTGCTGGCACCCATAAGGACCATGGAAGTAGAAGACAAAGGGTGAATTCAGACAGCAAGAGAGAAGACAACTTCTGAGAGTGCACCTTACCAGAGGGACTGGATGTTGCAGTTGGGGTGCATCAGCCCTTCACACAGGAGTTCCACACCTGCATCTCCCAGCTTGTTCTCACCTATGTGCAGTACTTTCAGGTGCTTGTTGGTGCTGAGGGCAGAGCTGACAGCCTTGCAGCAAGCAGTGGTGAGCCCACACTCCCTAACCCTGCAAGGCAAAAGTGAGATGAGATCTAGGTGGGTCACCTAGAGACTACCAGGCACCGTTCACTTCTTTACATTTATTTAACAGGAGCCCAGACAGTGGGAACAGAGGAGCCAGGGCTTTCCTGCAATCACTGTATTCCTCTCAATGCCTGTCTGCTCAGTCCTTTCTAGGCAGCACCTCTCCTACTCTTTATGTGGGATGTCTGTCTTGGAGCATGCACCTAGGAAAGGCACCTGCCCAAGAAGCACAGGCACAAAGAAGGATGAAGTGTGCTCCTCTAACAGTCACTGGTGGCTCCACTGTGCACTCCTGAAGCACCCCATTGACTTCCTGGCCACCAGGGCAAGAACCCAGCTGAGGGCAAGAGCTGAATCTGCAATGTAGGAAAATTCAGGTTCTAAGTGAAAGAACAAATTTCCCCTCCTAGACCATCCCAGCCTAAAAGGTAGGACAGTTAATAGGACAGGATGATGAGAATTGTTTAATGTCACTAGAGCTTTCTTTTGTCTCATTAGTGAGAGAGTTTAGCTCCAGTGGAGAACCTGAGATATCTGATCACAGCACTCATTTTGCTATTTCATCAGGCCTTTCAGACTTCAAAAGTCTCTTAACTGTCATTTGCTGCATGATAAAACAATTAATTAGAAGCTCTGCAAGTGGTGCTTGGTCTCCTTTCAGTTGTAACAGGATAACTGTGATGGGGCACATCTTCAAAGTGTCTGAGTTTAGAAATACAAATCCTTTTAAAGTCTTTAAGTCTAGAAAAGCCCTTTTTAACTCTGTAAATCCTTTCAATAACAACCAGCAGGAGTTGCTTATGGAACCATCACAACTGGGGATCTATGTGGGTGGGCATTACTTCACCTTACATCTTTCTTCAGTGAGGCCTCCAAAGAAGGCAGCAGATATGTGAAACTTGACAGCAGCTCACCATAGCTCCTGAAGTTTAGATTTGGGATCCTTGAGTGCCTGACAGAGCATTTCCATCCCTGAGTCTCTCAGGTTATTGTCTATCAGACTGATCTCTGTGAGGGTCTCCTTTGTACTGATGAGTCTGGAGAGATCTTTACAGCTAGCACTTGTGAGATCACAATCCCATAACCTGCAGGGAAGAACAAAATGTTATTTTCTCCCAAGAATGACTGAGATTAGAAAACAGAGTCCTGTTTTAGTATTCTGAATTTTTGGTTACATTGTCTTATTTTCTTGTATGCTTTCATACATCATATCACACAGCTTCCTCCTTTCCTTACTTTCCACTTGCTGCACCAAAAGTTCTGCTTGTAACACATGAAAAAAGAAACAGAAATATGCAACTCTAGTAGACAGCTAACTCAACTGGAAGCCAAGACAATGTCATCATAAACTTCAATTTGCCCTCTCACCAGAATTTGATCCAAGCAATTTCAGTGTGGTCCTACTTGTTCATGGTGTTCTCCACCCAGCTTTTGGGAATTAACTGATTTGCAGCTGAGACTTTTTTTTTTTTATCACGAAGGGTAAATGAAAAATTTCCACTTTGGAGCAAACCAGCAGCACAGCCTAAACCTCAGAGGCTGCAGAAGGGATATAAGAAACCTCTGCCCACCCTTACCACAACTTCTGGATTTTGCAGCTAGGATGCATCAGTCCCTGGCACAGCAGAGCCAGACCGGAGTCCCCGATCTTGTTGTCCCCCACAGAAAGATCCATCAGAGATGACTTGTTCCTGAGAACAGCACTAATCTCCATACAGCTGTCACTGGTTATGCCACAGTTCTCCAGGCTGCAGGAAAAAGCACAGTTGGAGTTGCTGCTCCAGACCCACCCATGTTAGATACACCCCAATACCCCAGTTCAGACTGGGAAGGGTCTTTGCTGCAAACCAGTGCAGCTCAGCCAGGCACTGCTACATCCTGCAAGGTTAAGAGAAGATACAGGTATCCAAGATGGGAGTCTGGGTGAGGCAACACACTGCTCCTGCATTTCATGAGGCTGCAGGGCACTTTGACCCAGCCATTCATATGCATTAATGCAAGGATCATTCCTGCCAAACTTCCCTTTTTATCAGTTATCCTTTTTAAGAGGAACTTTTGGCAGCATCACACAGTGAGTCCCTGCTGAGCCAACCCCTGCTGAACCTCAGGGGCAAGATAAAATGAATTGTGCTTTTCCCAGAAAGTCCTTCATGGGCTTTACCACAGAAATGAGGCCAAACCCAGCACCTTTGTTTTGTAGCAAAAAAGGGCTCTGAATAAGTATACTCAACAGGCTGGTAATTCCAGTTTAAGAACTAGAGCCACTGAGGGTGATTGTTCCTCTGCTCTGAGACACAGGTGAGCAGTCTCCCTTAGTAAGTGGTGGTTTAACCTGGAGTGCCAAAAACCCCAAAACTGAAAGCCCCAGACCTTTATGTGCAGTTTCCAGTTACATAAATCTGAGCCAGCCAAAAATCTGGCCTACATTTCAAACACTCCTGACAACAATTTTTCCTGTCTAGGGATGGTGTGACTAGCAGCAGCACTAGCTGCCACTGGAGATGAGCAGCTCTTCCTTACTGTAGTAGCTCCAGGTTGCAGCTTGCCTCCACCAGGCCCCGGCACAGCTGCTTCACAGCTGTATCTCCCAGCGTGTTGTTGCTCAGGCTGAGCTCCTTCAGGGTGGGCTTGCTTTGCAGAGCAGCATTGAGAGCTTCCACAATATCAGCTGTGAGTTCACAGTACTCCAGCCTGCAAGAAGAAAAGAAGTCCAGGCAAAAAGACAACCCTCCTTACACATTCTGCTACCAACAACAATCAGCTGAGCCTGGTGTGTGTTAGCCAGGGCAGAAAACATGCCAATGTGAGTTGAGATCAGGCAATGCATAAACCAGACATAACTGCTGTTTGTTGTAAAAAGCTTTTAACAGCATCTCTCTGCTCATTTCAGGAAGCATTAATTCTTAAACTAGATCCCAGAGGACCCTAGCAAGACCAATTTTTACACTAGGCCTCTAATGAATCAGTGTACAGGCAGCTTGGAGCACAGGGCTGGGCTCTGCACTGCAACACCATCAAGAGCCTCAACTCTGGGCCTGCCCAGGGGGAGCTGGGGGGCTGCAAATACACCCAGGTCCTGCTCAGTCATGAAACAAGGACCAAGGGCAGCAGAATCTGATGTTTCCTGGGCATCTGAGAGGTCTTGCTTTTGCAGCCACCACTGCCAGAAGGGCTAAACAAAGCCTATGGGAACAGACACCTGACTTCTACACCCACAAGATCCACCTGCATGAATAAGTATGACAATTTCAGGTAAAACAAGAACAAATCCGCACCTGGCAGCAAAACTCCTGCTTGTGTCAAGGGAAAAGCAAGCATGTGTGATGACTGAAAAAGCCCAGTGACTACTTACTGCAGCTTCTGCAGCTTACAGCTGGGGTTCATCATGCCTTGGCACAGCACCTTCACTCCAGCAGTTCCCAGCCTGTTATCCCCTACATGCAGCTCTGTCAGGGATGGCTGGGCACTGAGGACGGAGCGCAGGGTCTCACAGCTGGCACTCGTCAGGTTGCAGTTTTGCAGCCTGCAGGAGAGAGGGAAATGCACTCAGAATTACAGAGGTTCTTCTCAAGAGAGCTTTATTTGCTGAGGTTGGAGCTCAGAAAGGACAACACAGCTCTGATGGTGTGGAAGTGGTTTGTCCAGGTTAGTACCATTATTTTGCAGGTGTGCCATAATATTTTATCTACTACACCTGTGCCATAAACAATAGCTTGCATGCTTCCTTCAGAGTAATCACTCATACAGCATCTCCAGCAGAATACGGATTCACCCTAAACCACTTATAGAAGTGGTTTAAATATCAGGAGGCTGACCCCAGAGATAAAGCAAAGGCATCTCATGATTTCTTGCCCCCTCTAGAAATGTGATCCAGAGTTGGTAGAAGTTAAAATCTCATCCAACCATGGATATAATTTAGTTTAATGGTATAGTACAAGAAGGATCTATGAAGTTGATCCTTCAGCACTCAGGCTTGGAGACGTAGCATAGGAACTGTGCTGATATTGCTATGGGTTGTTTATAGAATTATTGGATAAGACTTTGGAGCAATAGAGAGATGTTGTGCAGGGAGGTTTGACTTGCTCTTTTAATTCCTCTTATTCCTCTTATTCATTCCTCTTTATATTCTTCTTCCTTTTATTTCCTTTTTATATGATTTCTCTTTTATTTAAGGCACCTTATCACAACACCAAAAATGGACAATGTTTTTCTGCAGAACTGAAAACCCCAGGCTGTTACGTGAGCATATGGAGAAATCTAAAGCCTAGGGCAAACTCTGTGAAAAATTATTTAAGTCTTCCAGTACAGAGTACCACAGTTACTTCTTGAAGATCCATCAGAGAGCTGCAGTTTCATCATCTTCACAGTCAACTTTCTTCCTATTTGCCTGACTCCTCATTGCAGGCGCCACAGGGACTTCAATATCTGAACCAAAACTCATATTATTCTTACAAGTTAGTGTTCTGAGGATCCCAGATTTCTCTCAGGAGCTGGAAGAGTCCTGTACCCTGCAGAAGAGATGCTGAACAGAGAAGGCAGAAGCCCTCTTTGAGGGCTTCTGAGGAGCAGAGGCAGCAGCTACTGGCTCTGACTACAGCTCCTGCACCAGGGTTGCTGAGGGAAGCCCGCTAATGCTATAATGTGGTGGGGTGCCTCCATAAAATGCCTCCCAGAGCCAGGGAACCCTCCAGTTTGCTGCATTCTGAGGATCACTGAACAATGACAGATCCTGGGCTGACACCCCCACTCCCCAAAGCTCAACCTCAAAGGCACCTGATGTGAGTCCTTCGTTGAATTTGAGGGGAATTTTCCACAGGTGAGCACCTTGTACATACTCCTTTAGGTTTGTTTGCTTGTGAGTGGGAATATACTGTAGCAAATGGACTGTGACTGTTATTGTCCTAGATTATTAAGTACTTTAGATATGTAAGTTAGGCCTGTGAGTTACTGTTGCATTATAGTAAATTCTGTATGAACCTTTGTTAAATTGTTTAACCCAAGCTATTAATGAAGTGCTGTTAAGTTTAAGTGCTGTTAAAACTTTTAGGCCTAAAAGTATTGGTCCAGTCCAGAACTCAGTTTAGCAGAGATTCTGAACCTTGAAATTCAAAAGGACTGTCTTCTTTATTCACCCTTTCCTGCCCTCACCCTTCCCCCTTCTCCCAGCCTCCATGTAGATAATTCTTCAGTTGACATTGGTTATTGACTTTAGTTTTTTGTTTGCTTTTTCTCTCTGTGCTTTAACCATCTAGTAAGTAGTAGAGTGAACTTTGTCAACAAATTGTTGTGCTTTCACTTTTATATTAAACCTGCCTTTGATTCTTAAAGAGACCTCAAAACACTCATCTGTGACAGCATGATAGAGCAAGACAATCAGGGGAGCTTTACCATAACTTCTGTAGGCTACAGCTTGGGGTCAGCAACCCTTTACAAAGGTATTCAACACCTTCATCTCCCAGCTCATTGTTGTTCAGCTTCAGCTCTGTGAGGGATGGATTTGTATTGATGATGGAAGAGAGATCCTCGCAGTTACTGCTGGAGAGATTGCAGTCATCCAACCTGAAAGACAAGGACAGAAGGGGAACTTCAGTCCTCAGAGTTGCTCTGCTCTCCCGGGCTGGAGCACTGCTCATGAAAGCAGAGTGGGCAATGCTCCTGCAGTTCCTGGGATGCCTCCATAGTATGTGCAGGGCCTGCTGGGTCAAACCAAGATGTGTTCTGGGCTGCACCACAGGATGGGCTGGAGGGCAGCTTCCCAAGCCTTGCTCCTCCTCTGTGCTGCACAGAAGCGGGCACAAATCATCCTCCTACAGGAGGAATGTGCCTCCACTAAAACAGTGACAGTGACAAACCACCTGCCAGCTTACAGGTGTCAGACTGGTTCTGCACTGAGAACTGCAGCCAGCCCAGAGACGTTCATCAGCAGGTTGGTGTCTTGCAGGTGAGCCATGCTGGTTTGCACCATCTCCCTCCAGCAGGAATCTCAGCACACAAACCCTGAGTTTGCAGTTTGGCAGCAGCTTCCCCCACGGGATATGAGCATTCTTCTAGGTACTGCTGAATTGATGAGGATGAATTTAATTGAAAGGAGAGCCAAGGAAAGGAGCACAGGACAGCCAGGGGAGGTATAGAGGGAGGCAGAAAAGACACAGAGCAATAAGAAGGTGCCATTGAGAACCATACAGCCCCAGGCACAGCCACAGCCAGGAGTGCCAAAAGTTGCCTGGTCATTTCTCCTTACACAACAGTAGGAAACTGAGGCTCTATGAGGGTTCTCCTTCCCTCCCCCAGCAAGAAGACATGGATTCCAATGGGATCATGCTCAACACTGATGAAATAACCCCTGCAGCAGTCAGCCTTATCCATTGCCTCTGGAGCAGCCCAGCCTGTGCCAGGAGACAACCATCCCACTGCTTTCTGCCACCCAAGGCAGGCCTTGGGAAGTCAAGGCCAGGCCCATGAAGCTCTGCCTGCTTTGCAAAACAAAAGGAAGTTGCCCTCACCATATCCAATGCCCTCCGAGGCACTGCTGGCATGAAGTGGCCCCTCCTCTCCAGCCCCAGCAGGATGATGCCATCCCATGAAGTGTGAATTCCCAAACAGCAGAGGGAAAAGATTGCAGTAGCAACTCTTCTGGGCCCTGTCCTACACCTTAGACCCCAGGAGATGGTTCCCTCCCATTGTTTGCTCAACAAACAAGGCTGGTACTTCTGAAGGTCAAGTGAAGAATTAAAAGCTGATGGCACACGGCTTGTACCTGACTACTGAAGCCAAAATCACTTGACAGCATCAAGCCTGCAACCCAAAGAATGTGCAACCCAATAAGCACAGAGAGATGTCTTCCCCCTCTTGAGAGGCAAAAGCAGAATAACCAAAATGGTGGTCAAATATTTAAATCACATTACCTAGCTGAGCCCTATGGCACACCAAGAAACAGGGCAACATTACTTCATAACAAAGGATATTTATCTGTAGTTGATAAAGCTTTGCAAGAGGATGGGGATTTATCCACCCTTTAAATTAACTTTCTGGACAAAAATAGGTAGACTCATTCCTGTTGCTGTGCAATTTCTAAGTTCCAGGTCAAACAGTTCTGAAGATGAAAAGCACAGGAGAGAAACGCAACAGTTCTTACTCAAAAGAGAGAATACACAACACTTTACTTACCTGATGGTTTTGCAGGATTTCATTGTGGTCAGAAGTTCAGCCCATCTAGATGGGCTCATCTCTTCACACTGGATGTCAAGCTCCATTTTGACAGCTGAGATAAGACCTGAAAATAAAAACAAAATAAAATCACTTTTTTTTAATTGACTGAGAAGCAGCAATGTTCTTCAATCCCCCCCAGCTCTCAGCCATGAGCCATACTGTGCAAAGGGGACAGATTATAATTTTCCAAAGCCTGCAAACACCAGTACAAGGTCAGGAGAGTTGGAATGGTTTTGTCTGGGACTTGGGAAGGCCTTCCTCTGAGAGGAATCCTCAAGAGATATGGCAAAAGCCTGTTATCTGGAGGCTGCTTGTATGAGAATAAGACATTCCCCTTCCCCCTCCAAGGGAGCTTAACCAGAAGGAGCTTTACAGAGACACTGGTGCTACTCACTACTGCACTGCTGAGCCACACAGACACCAGTTCCACCAGCGTGGGACACCTGACCCACTGTGGACCCTCAACTGTACTTAAAATTGGGGTATTTTTGAGAGAATTTGGGTGAATGAGGATGATGAGCATGAGAACTACCTGGGCTCAAATTAAAAATCCTGCTGGACATGTGTCTGTATGTGAGAAGTGGAACTTGCATCGATGGGAGAAGTGTTCCTCCATAAATTGATATCCAAGGTTTGAAACACCACTCTGGTTGGGCAAATCCAAGTACAGAGAAGCTGGTAAGCAGATTTTTTTTTTTTTTTTTTGTCTGCAAACTGCATTTCTGAAGTGATGTAAACAGAGTGCTGTGCAGAACAGCTCCAGACAAACGTGCACAAAAGCATGCCAAGGCTGAGCCCTAGGTTTAGTCTACAAGGGAGCGGTTAAAGGCAGCGCTGTAGTAAGTGACAAAATGCAGCCTTGGTCGGCTGGTTTGCCCAGCATGACTCAGACTACGGGGCATGAAAAAGAAATAATCCCTGAGCTATCCCATCGGAATGTGAGCTGCAGGCAGCTCCCATCGTCTTCCCTCCTCGCAGTCCCGTAGCATCGCGGGGATCCCAAAGTGGCGTTTCCCGGCGGCCGGCCCGGTGCCA